ATGTCTGTGTCCCTCTCGGTTCTTCAGGTCAGATGGTAGATGCTTGTGGATTTGGATTTTAAAATGTTACATTGTAAGTAATTTATAATAGCAGCTAAAATTGCAAAAAAATGCAAAATTTAAAAAGCCTTTTGCTGCAGAGGGGAAAGATTCTACCTCTAAGATGGCAAAATTCTGTGCTAAGTTACCATGCTAAGTGACCATGCTAAGTTACCATGCTAAGTGAAACAGGCAACCAAACAATCGCAAGAAAGTTTCTTCCACTCCAGAACTTTTTATTTTGTGAAATAAGGGTTGCCTCTAAATGACATCACAATTATTTCCTCTCCATGTGCTTTTTTTCAACTTAAATTGCTTACAGTAGTACAATTTGGGCCAACTGTTTATACACTTGTGCATTTCTATTGAAGCAGTTTAGCTTAAATACTTTTGCTCCGGGGTACACAGGCACCAGAGAGGAGGATATAGTAGAGGATTCTTTCTGGGATTTGAACCTGGAAACGTTTGGGTCAGTTCAAGTCTAGTTCCTTACCCGCTGAGCCGTGTGCTGCAGATACATATGTTTCTTAAGGACATTGTGTAACCACACTCTACCCATCTGCAAACAGTTACTCTGTAGCTGATTTCCTGCTTGGCCATGCTGCCAGCTCTGCTGCCCTAATATCACAGTCTTCTGAGTATCTATTCTCTCCTGTTGTTGCCATTTATTGATGATGCTTTCTTCCTTATTCCACTGACCCGTACTCACACTTTGAATGCATGATATATGATCCTCGTGCCCTTTCTCGCCCTACAAACCTTTCTGTGACTTCTGTGTACACACCATTGACAAGGTTGGTGCAGCCATCTGCCAGTTGCATTTTCAATGGGGGGGGGGAGAGATGAGAAAGTGGTGAGAATGAGAAGCGGATCCATGCACGTGGTTGTTAAATACCGTGCGCTTTGAATTACAACCCAGGACTCTTGAGGAGAGCTGAGATCAGAGCTGTTCTGTAGAAGGTCTGATGATCACAGTTTCCATATGTTCCTATGGATCCATATGTCGTATTAACTGGAGAATGTGGCTCGTCCTGAGTTCCCAGTCAGCACCCCTGAGTTCCCAGTCAGCACCCCTGAGTTCCCAGTCAGCACCCCTGAGTTCCCAGTCAGCACCCCTGGTTTTGCTTGTGCTGAGGGATGTTACACATTTTACTGTTTTCTTTGTCTGCTGCTAATGGCTCTGTTTGTGAGCCCCCACCCCCCACTCAGTGTGACCAGGCTCCCAGGACAGGCACTGACTGCCCCCCCCCCCCTGTGCCCCGCTGCAGATCGACCGTCTGGTGATTGGCCAGAATGGCATCATGTCGACGCCGGCAGTGTCCTGCTTGATCCGGGAGATCAAGGCCGTCGGGGGCATTATCCTGACGGCTAGTCACAACCCAGGAGGCCCCAACGGGGACTTTGGCATCAAGTACAACATCTCCAGTGGAGGTGAGAGACAGGACAGCGGCCATCCGCTCACATCTAATCTACCGTAGGTTTGATGTAGTTCATATATATATCATATTGGCCAAAAGTCTTAGGTAGTCAAAGCAAATGTTGAAGTCATTCATAAGGGTAGTAAGTGCATATTAGCCCAGAGAAAAAACACACAATTTAACATTAGAAAATATGCAAATTATCAGTGGCACAATAAAAACTGACAAGAATCTCTTCTGTTCCCCAAACAGTTACTGATATCTAGTTGGATGGCTGGATGAACACCACTTCAGTTCCCAAACCTCCCCCAAACATCTTTAAATTTCAACACCAGCTTAATTAATGAAATTAAGTTAAATAACACTGTGAGGTACTGATTAGCTAATCAAGGTGTCGTAATGGTCGAGTCATGAAATACGTGGGTTTATTGGGTGGTTAATGGAAATATTGAGGTGACTTTAGGAGTGGTTTTTCAATGGTTGAATTAACACACTTTGACATAATAATTTCTATTACATATCTGCACTGTATTTGGCAGCATATCAGTGTTTGCGTAGTGATTTGTATAGCTATGATCATGAAATTTTTATGTTCAGGTGACAGGAATTTTCTGCAAAAAAATAAAATGAAAATGAACACGACAAAATGAAAATACAATATCCATTTTGTGATTTAGTTTTCAAAGTCTATCAGCAAAAATCCTGCCAAAATGAAAATCATAATGTTTGTATTTAATGCTGTAAGAATAATTAATTTTCTAACCCTTTAAGCTTGGACATATTTCACCAGTAGGGGGCAAAGCCTCCCCGTAACGGTGGATCCTCTTTAAACTTGTAACATCGTGAGATGATTAAGAGCGAAGCTGCAGCGGCCAGCTGACTCGTGATGGCCGGATGAGCCAAGATCCTACACTCAGTCATCACGTTAATAACAAAAGTTGCTCGTTGCTACATTCCTGCCTTTAGACCTACAAGAAAACTAACGAAACAGTGCAGAGTTTAACTCCTGACAGAAGGTGATTGTCACGCTGAATGAAATTCATAGCTCTCCCAGTCATCCTGCGAATACCACAGTGATCTTTTGACAACGTTTTGACGTTTTATGTTTGAAGAAGACAAGCTTTGCCTTTATGTGAGCGGTTTTCACTTCGCCGTTATCTAACATTCAATGTCAATGTTTCTCCTGACGCTGCTCTATACCTGTTCGCATTTGCTTGTTTGATGGACTCTGCTAAGCCTAGGATTTCCATCTGTGTCCTTTGGCTTCTGCTGTCTTGAGATTCAGTGTTTGCCCAGGTGATTTTCATCTTGTGAAAGGGGCTCCGCCATTGGACGAGACTCTATGTGTGGAAGTTGACAGTTGGCTGCCATGTCCTTGGGGCAGCTAAGCATTGTGGTTTTCACCTCAGCTTCAAACCGTAACGCGTGTGAGGAACTGCAGGCCTCTCCAGCCTCTGTGCTGTGATTGCTTTGCATGTCAGGGATGCTATACAGCTTAACCAGACAGCCACAAACCACCTTCTCTAATGTTAGTCCTGTCTGGAGGTTCCCCAGAAATTAACGTCTCTGACATGATACGATATTTATTTTATCCAAAGTGACTTACAGTAAAGGGAAAGGTCACATTTAAAAAAACATGTCTTAATGTCTGTGTTGCAAACCTGCAATTTACTTCAGGATTAATAAAGTGTCTGTCTTGTCCTGTCCTGCCCTTCACAGGTCCAGCACCAGAGGGCGTCACAGACAGAATCTTCCAGATAAGCAAGACCATCGAGGAGTATTTTATCTGCCCGGACCTCAAGGTGGACCTGTCCACCATCGGCAAGCAGACCTTTGACCTGGAAAACAGACCCAAGCCCTTCACAGGTCAGCGGGTGTTCCACAGTCCAGCCGTGAGGTAGATTGCCCAGGACAGGGGTGTGTAGATGGCGATGTGTACCTAAGGCGGGGGCAGGCTGCTTGGGTTACACCAAATCTCTGCTCCACAGTGGAGATCGTGGACTCTGTGGACTCGTATGCTAACATGCTGAGGGACATCTTTGATTTCGCTGCCCTGAAGGAGCTGCTGTCTGGACCCTCTCACATCAAGGTCCGGTTAGACGCCATGCATGGAGGTAAGAGCTGGACCTCCTTCCTAAACACCCACAAGCAGATTGTGATCACGCACACGCACACTCACACACACATACGCACACGCACACACACATACGCACACGCACACACACACACACACTCACACACACATTCACACACGCACACTCACACATACACGCACACTCACACACACACACGCACACTCACACACACACTCACACACACATTCACACACGCACACTCACACATACACGCACACGCACACTCACACACACACACGCACACTCACACACACACACACACACACATGCACACTCACACACACACTCACACACACTCACACGCACACTCACACGCACACTGACACACACACTGACACACACACACACACACATATACAGTCCATGTATTCATATCTTTGTGGAGGTTCTTCATTAATTTCTATGGGCATAAACCTAATTGTACCCATGGGCATAAATTATGAGGGGGGTAGGGGGGGTTGTAACCCCCCCCCCCCCCCAATAATCAAAACTGGCTATTTTTTTATTTAAAAAAAAAAAAGAACCTTAACCTTATTGGTATTTCAGCTGCATTTGCAATAATAAAACAAATGAAATATTAGTTTACACTAAAAGTTTACACAATTTATACCTTATGGCGTATGATTTGCTTCATATTCTATGTATAAAACCCTTCTAGGTTATTGTTGTTATTATTATTATTATTGTTTGCGTTTTGTTGTTGTATTTGACACACGCATGGAATACAGAGAGATTAATGTCTTTGTGACTTGTGTTAGGCTGCTGCTTCATCTAACAGTAATCAAATTTCCATGGCTGCTGCCACTTTAACGGGCCGGTTCAATCTCACCCAGGCCGAGCAGCCTGGAGCTCCGCTGCGCTCAACGTGCCGGCAGTAAACACGCGTGTCTGCAGCGTCCGCGTGTCAAAAGATGGTTGCCAGAGTCCGCCTGAGGAATGTGGGCCGGGGGCTGCGGAGCATCAGCGCTCCAGCCAGGCATGGGAGGGGGGCCCCAGGCACACAGCGCCGGCTGTTCACTACAGCCTGGCCGATGAGCACGGCTCCTCACGAGGCCTTGGTCAATGGTGCTCTGTGATGGAGCAATGCATTGTGGGAAAGTGGGCAGCCATTCCAGGAGGACCTCTGCAGATACATATTTTGTTGCTCTGAATGTTTATTCAAGCTCACTTCAGCAAGACGACTGATTTACGACATTTACATTTTATTTAGACGTTTTTATCCAAATGCGACGTACATTTTGAGAAAGCACGGTCAGCCAGTCCCTGGAGCAACTGAGGGTTACTGGCCTTGTTCAAGGTTCCAGTGGTGACATCATTCAGGCGACCCTGGGATTTAACCCTATAGCCTTCTGGTCACTGGCACAGTGTCGTAACCCGCTGAGCCACACCTTATTCGTTTTTTGCTTCACGTACCCGTGGACTGGCTTTATAAATGGAGTCATGTTGCTCAGGCACACGCTCTTCTTTGGCCGCGGGGCTTAAGTCCCGAACCACCACCACTAAGTGTCCCAAGTGATAGTGAGATCTGAGAGGAGGCATGTGGCTTTCATCAAGGTTGTCTGCTGTCTATTGTGTGGGTCTGTTTCAGCCAAGTTGGTGTTAAATTGGGCATCTTCTTTTAGCCCTTACCCACAATGCACTTTGCTATAATAGCTGACTTCTGGAACATTTAAAAAAAAAAAAAAAAAGCTCTCTGCTTTTGTGCAAACCGGATATGAATAGCAGAGAAACATTTTCCTCCTTAGTTGATTAAATGAAAACTAAGAACGAATTCATGAAATCCTGATGTGATAAATGACCTCTGTGACCCCTTAGCCCTTCAGAAGTGTCATTTAATTCTTTTTTTTTCTTTGGCTAAGATAAACTTTAAGGGGGAAATACACACAGTGTGGAAGGTAGACCACAGACGAACATGCAAGGACGGTACACACAGTGCACACAAGACGCAAACAAATTTAAAAGTATACGGTACACAAATAGAATATCCTGAAAAACAGTGTATCAAAATATTAAGGAAATATTTTTATTAGTAGTAGTAGAAGTAGTATAGTAGTAGTACTACAAATAGTAGTATAGTAGTATAGTAGTAGTACTACAAATAGTAGTATAGTAGTATTAGTAGTATTTGTGCAATGAAAAAAACAAATGGCACCACCACAAAGATGGGTTGCTTCCTGATGGGACTGTGAGGATGACACTTGGTGGTTTCCATAGTGATGGGGCCCTACGTTACGAAGATCATCTGTGAGGAACTTGGTGCTCCTGCCAACTCCGCAGTCAACTGTATCCCCAAGGAAGACTTTGGGGGCCACCACCCCGACCCCAACCTGACCTACGCTGCTGACCTGGTGGAGGCCATGCGGGGGGGCGAGTACGACTTTGGGGCCGCCTTCGACGGTGACGGCGTGAGTGCTGCCTCTTTGTGCACCCTGTGGTTTCTTTGTAGGTATGAAGGCTGTAAATGTTATCCTTGGGATACATATGTGTCCTACAGCTCATGATGTGGCCTGTGCTTGGGGAAACGATAGCGGCACCATTTGCCGGCGCTCTGATCATGCATTTGTGGGTTTCTACTGAGGTTTGAGGTCCCCTGTTGGCCACAACTACTCACTACACTGAACAAGGGGAGCAACAAGGTGGCTAAAGGACCGTAGGTAGAACTGGGCGAATAGTGCTGGTCTCCAAGCATGTCCTGTCAATAGGGGAAGGTCTGGTCTTGTCCTTGGTCTTCACCCCTGTGCAAGTGGGGGACTTGTGAGAAAACGGGATAATCGGAAGATTCACACTGGAATTAGAAAAACGAGAATGTTGCACGATGTTCATTAGTCATGTAGACCAACCATTGATGAAACAGGGTGTTAACATCAGGTTTCTTTAATCTCTCCTCCACGTAGGATCGGAACATGGTCCTCGGGAAGCACGGCTTCTTTGTCAACCCCTCGGACTCGGTGGCTGTCATCGGCGCCAACATCACCAGCATTCCATACTTCCAGAAGACTGGCGTGAAGGGCTTCGCCCGCAGCATGCCCACCAGCGGGGCTCTGGACAGGTGAGGCGTGTCTGGGCTTCCACTAGAGGGCACTAAAGCCAGTTCAGCGTGAGACACGTCTGTCATAAACTCATGAGAAACTCTTGATGATCTTCAAGGCCATCACTATGGTTACTTTCCAAAATGGGGAATTCTCATCAGCTTGACAATATTAGTAAACTGGGTATTTTATCCATTTTCAGTAACACAAGTAACACAATAAAAACTAAAAAAAATATGTTCTCCTCTCCAGAATCTGATATCTAGTTGGATGGCTAGATGAACACCGCTTCAGGTCCCAAACCTCTCCTCAAGGGCACCCCAGCCATTCCATGTATTTATTAAATTTCACCACTAGTCCACTTAATTAACTAGCTTAATTAGTTAAAAAAAATCAATGAGATACAGATTAGCTATGCGAGGTGAGCTAGTGGTCGAGTCGAATCGTTGCTGAAAATAACGAGGTGGTTTTAGCAGAGGGTTTGAAATGGCTGAGCTGACACACTTTGACAGGTATAATATCATAGTTTTACACCAGCATAAAGACCATTTAAACATCCTCTTCTTTGGCTGCCTAAGACATTCGCGCAGTACTGTGCATTGGAATGCTTCTATTCACATATCCCATAATGCTCTGCTTTGAGACACTTACAGATGAGAGTTAAGCTTGGAGTCCGAGTGCAGACTGAGGCTGTTTATCTGATGCCACCGTAGCATTTCTCTGCTCTACACTTTTGTGTTTTCTTTCTTTCTTTCCTTTTATTTATTTTTTTCCTTTTCTTTATTGCTATTAGGCAACAAAGAAATCCCTACTCATAGGACCCATAAAGTTCTTATCTTACCGAGGACTTGTGGATGAACTGAGAATTAATAACCATGAAAGGCGAAAGGGGGTGTCATCTTTTAATAAAAACAAGATTTAAATTGGAATTCCAGGCTGGAATGTGAGGTTAAAACCTGAGGCCCCAGATGATGAATGATAATCTGGATTACATGCACGGAGCACTGACAGGAAGATTACAAAATACCTGTAGGACGAATTAAGATGGTACATTATGTCAGGAAAAAAAGTGTTGATTCTTTGTTTCTGGTATGTAAAGTATAATTTCCATGAAACGCTTAAGGGTACATTGGCTGGTGATGGGGGACAAAATTAACCGTAATTTTTGGGTGGAATTCCCCTTTAAGACAGGGCCACAATGGAGTAACTTTCATAAAGTGGGGTATGTACAATATTCCTCCAGACTCTTTTGTGTAACACTATACTCTTCGGTACTGAAGAGGATATGGGCTTTCCAGTGTGATACCAGGGACTGACATAAGACTGTGTTACTGCTTATTACTCACTACCGTGCTCTTTCTTAGTGTTGCTAAGGCAACCAAGGTCCAACTGTATGAGACCCCAACAGGGTGGAAATTCTTCGGTAACCTGATGGATGCCGGTAGGCTTTCCCTGTGTGGAGAGGAGAGCTTTGGTACAGGTGAGTGAATGTTCCTCTCTAGAGCTCGTCTCACTTCAGCAGAGCACACATGAAAGGTCTCCCCATACCTTAAAAGGACAGCTTCAGAACTTGCGTTAAGCTCTTTATTGTTAAAATCATTGGTAATATGAATATACCCAAAACCTTAAAGACCTTAGTAGTTTTAGGGCTAACTAATTGGCTTGGCTAGCATGAATAGCATTGCACTGATTCAGCAGATCTGCTATGATCTTGACTCTTTATGAACGTAGAGATCTAACTCTACACCCTCATCGTCCAGGTTCTGACCACATTCGAGAAAAAGATGGGCTTTGGGCAGTGCTGGCATGGCTGACGATCCTTGCGACCCGGAAGCAGAGTGTAGAGGAGATCATGAAAGACCATTGGCAGAAATTTGGAAGGAACTTTTTCACCAGGTGAACCCTGACCGACAGCACTTCACTGCCCTCTAGTGGTAGCATCCTTACACTTGTCTGTCAGTCCATCTGTCTTCTGTCTTGCTCAGGGTCTCGGGGCTCAAACAGGTTGGATTTAGATTATTCTGAAAATGCATTTTTGTTGACCAGTCAGAGCTGCAACTGGTATCTGCTGTGATTCTGCCTTGGAATCCATCTGTTAAGGAACTTCTGCACACCAGTAAACATAAATGAATTCATGACCGTACCACCAATGCAACCCAAATAGGTATGATTATGAAGAAGTGGATTCTGACGCTGCAAACAAGATGATCAAGGACCTGGAGATGCTGATCTTAGACGCAGCCTTCATAGGTCAGAAGCACACGGCAGGAGACAAGACTTACGAGGTGGAAAAAGCTGACAATTTTGAGTACAGTGATCCAGTGGATGGAAGCATCTCCAAGAACCAGGTGAGAGGTGGCATTTGGTGTCTCTGGTACAGCAGGAATGGAGTAGAGAAACAGCCGTCATTGTCCTAATAACTCTGACCCCCCATATTGTGCCCATCAGGGACTGAGGATCCTTTTCACTGATGGCTCACGCATCATCTTCCGACTGAGCGGCACAGGCAGCGCCGGGGCAACTATCAGGCTCTACATAGACAGCTACGAAAAGGACCCACAGAAGATATACCAGGACCCACAGGTGAAGGCTTCAGAGTTGCATTCAGCTGCTTTTCCCAAACCACGAAAGAATCCCGGCATTGATTTTACGCAATTGTGGATTGTGGTGCTTCTCAAAACAGGGAACCAGCTTTGGGACACGACCCCGATTTCTGATTCAAGTTAACGAGCAATGCTTGTGTAATGGTGTGTGTCAGACCTAACTATTATAAGTGCTTACATGCGAAAAATTGGCCCATTCCGCTGTTTCCATTCAGTGCGATATTTGTCTTCGATTCAGGGTTTGTAGCAGTGCACTGTAGAGTTTGTGTACCAAATCTTAGTCTTTTTTTTTAATGCTGCATAGTGTTCTGGAACTGCTTAACCACCCCCCCTCCACCCCCCAAACTTTACGTAACCCCCCAGACCAAGTAAATGCTCTGTCGGCTTAACGTCATTGAAGCCTCGTACGTGTGTGAACTTCAGGAGAGAAAAGGCCACATTTGACACGGCAGAGTGACCCCATTAGGCGGAACGTGACACAAACAGTACCGTCTTTGTGACTCGGCGCTCCCTCATCAGTTCTGTGCCAGGGCTCGTTATGCTGTTTGACTAGAACACCACAGAGCAGCAGGGTGTTTGATTCAGCCCCAGGCTTCTGCATCATTCCATCTCTAATGGCTTTGAGACTAATTTTCCCACAGTAAGGGTGTTTTTTTTTCATGCATGCGGAAAAGATAATGCAGAACGTCATTCATCCCGGGGGGGAATTATTTGTCCAGTAGCACAGAAAGAAATCCAGCAAAGGTGGTGTGTGGCACAGCAGGTTAGGACATTGTTTCGAGGATCGGTAGGTTGCTGGTTCAAATCCCATGTGATTACACTTTTGGGCTCTTGAAAACAACCCCCAATTGCTCCAGGGACACACTGACCCTGTATATCAAATATGTATGATGCTTTGGATAAAAGTGTCTGCTAATTAAACAAAATGCAAGTACAAGTAAATACAACAAAGGATAATGTAAGTAAAGGGACAATAAACGCATAAAGGAAAATCTGTAATAAAGATACTAAATGAAGAAGAAATAAGAGAATTAATACGCAGATGTGCTGTAATGTTAAGCTGATGCTGTCCGTGTCGTATCTGGAAACAGGTCATGCTGGCTCCCCTGGTCGGCATCGCCCTGAAGATCTCACAGCTCCAGGAGAAGACGGGTCGCGATGCCCCCACTGTGATCACATGATCCCCTCCCCCCGACCTTCAGGATGTGGCCAAACCTCCATCTCCGCATCCCACATCCCCTCGTCTTTGTCTACCGTTTGCCAAAGCGCCGCACTGCATTATCTGTCTGGGGAAAAGAAAACAAACACGAGAATAAAATGGGATCTTCAAAATGATCTACATCTGTCCTTCATCTGTCCGCCCGTCACAGGAACCCAACATTGCTCTGCAGGCCTGCAACATAGCATGCAGGCCTGCTGTCTATGCAGATAAAGCTTCTGTGACGAAGCAGATGGAGCGATATCAGTCTCCGGTCCATGAATTCAGCCTCAGGAAGTGAAGGCAAAAACAGAGTGTGGTTATGGAGGCCGAGCCCTGAACTTCTGTAGGGCCCACATAATGAAGCAAGTTATATCATTTCTGAGATGCGTATCCGTGAATAATTGGTCCTTGCCTCCAGCATAATAATATTTGCAGACTGTCTGTGAGACAGTCTTTTAGAAGCACTTCCAGGAGAGGGACAATTTATAGGGGACAAATATTAACAGGAACTTCTGGAATGTATAAATTTGCCTGAAAATTACATACTATGCCATTTCCATTCAGAAAAACACAAACCACATGCACAAAAAAAGCCGAGAACAAAAACATGACCCACATAAACCTTTCTTTCCTAGATTTTAATCCCTTTTTTATATATAAAACAGAGCTGAGGTTTCATGTTATGCTGAGACGCCAACTGTGAGCTCGATGTTCACTTATCCGTTGGCGTAAAGGGGCTTCAACTGAAAAGCAAACAGCGTCATCACATAATTTTTTTCGCCAACAGTTTTCAATATTCCTTCTCCCGATCTAGAATTGCACCCAATTTAGTTAATAATAGCCGGAAAGCTGAAAGGGCAGGTACGCCTCTGTGAAGGGAAAACTGCCTTGGCATGCTGGGGCTTTCTGTCCCCCCACCACCAATGGCCCCCGCTCTGCCCCGGTAAGACCCCTCTCGCTTCACTGCCTGTGCCATGGAAACCCGGTAAACCCCCCGCCGGCGTCCCCCCCCTGCTCCCTGCAAAACGAGCTCGGAGGTGGGGGTTTGAGGGGGGGCTTCAGGGCGATGCCCCCACGTACATTTGGTGGGGTAACAGAGTAGCCGCGATCGGATTTAGATAAAAGGTCAAATTGGCATGGGCCTACGTAATCCGCACGCCGTTTAACCGTGAATGATTTACACGTTTTATTCCCGCCGGCCGCCATGACACTTACAGTACGCCGTGCCGGTCTGTAGCTGGTAGCGTATTTTTTTTTTATATTGGCAAGAAAAAAAGCATCAGTTTTTGCTGCGAAAACACGTTTTGAGCTCAGTGTTCTGAAAGGCGGAACGACCTATAGTATAGACCTATGTATTCCAACAGCGTGCTCAGGTGAGTCGGTGTCTCTAAATTGCCCGTAGTGTGTGACAGTGTGTCTCAGCGTGTGCCCTTTAATAGACTGGCATCCCATTCCCGTATTCCCCGTCTGTGTTTAGCGGGACAGGCTGCAGGCTCACTAACCCTGTCCTGGATAAGCGGTTAAGGAAGACGGATGGATGTATAATGTGTGTGTATATATATACACATATAGAGAACATATGTGTGATGCACACGTAAGAGCGCTTAGCTCTTTCAGCAAAATTTGACAGTCTCCTATTGAATAATTAAACTAAGAGACCAGGACAGGGGATATATTTCTGTGTTCTAACATCTGGTGTAAATCTGCGAGGCCGCCCTGAACAATTTATATTGTTAGGGCGCAATAAATGTGTGACATGACTAATGACAACTCAGGATTTCAAAGTAAAAGGTCAGAGGTGAAATGCGGAAACGTGAACTTACCGTATTATTGGGTGATTCGTCATTACATGACACGCAAAATAATTAGAAAAACTGTAGTAATGCATCCATCCATCCATCCATTTTCCAGCCCCTTATCTTGCTCAGGGTTGTGGGGTGTCGTAGCAAAACACAGTGGAATTAGCCTATATAAATATACATTTATTCTTTACTCTGTAGCGTAAGTGTGAGAATATTATATTATTTATAAAAAAGTGCTTTTTAATATTGTAGCTTTAATATGAAAGTTGAATGAATCTCAATTAAAAACTGACAAAGTTGCCAGTCATTCAGCAGAGAAGGACTATGAGTTTTTGCAGAAGACAGCCACAGAACTTCGAGTATGTAACTATGATTATACTTTATCAATCCCTGTGGGAAAATTCTCTTTTCATCTACCCCCATCTTGTGCTCTATAGGTGAGATCAAGCTGGTCACAAAGGGCAGCCACCCATAGCAGCAGTCAGACAGATGGGGGCTAAAGGCCCTGCTCACGGACCCAAAGATATGCTGAGGCTGGGCTTGAACCAACAACCTTCCAATCAAAAGTACAGGGACTACCCACTGAGCCACATGCAAAATGGCCTTAATGAACTGTCAGGAAAAATACTGGATCGAACTATTGACCACTCCTTATCTTTTTAGGATCAAGTCTGTTCTCTTTTTTTCTTCCGTCCATCCAGATTATCCAGCACAGGGTTATGGAGGTCCGGGAGCTGATCCCAGGCAGCATAGAGCAATAGGCAGGGGACGAGCTGGATGGGCTGCCAGTTCATCACAGGGCCCTGGATAGCCTTGGGGGGTATTGGGATGCATGGTGCATTATACCTCCAGGATTGGGAGTTTGTTTCCTGCCCCCAGCTCTCTGAGGGCGGAGTGTGTGTATATGTGCCCCGGAATGGGCTACCATCCCACTCACAACGTGCCGCGCCTCGTGCCGAGCATCCTGGGACACACTCCAGGCTCTGTTTGATTAAATAACTAGCAGTTATTGAAAATGAACAGATGTTCAGTTTAGCCTCTGACACTGATGATGGATGATGGCTTCCCCTCCTTGTTCCATGAGTGTAATTCTCCCACGGGTGCCAGGAAATGCGAGGTGAAGTGCGGAGAGGTGGGGCCGGCGGCCGCCTGGCCAGGCTGCCCGGTGCCTCGGGAGTCGTGGGTGAAGACAACGCTTCAGTCGGTCAGTCAGTCACGCTCAACGCCTGGACTCGGCTGCCATTTTGGAGCATTTTCAGCCCCTTTCAGATCCAATCATCCGCTGCACTCTTGAAGAGGTGAAACTAAGTCTTGGCGCTCTCCAAATGTCCTCGCTGTGTTAAGAAGGATGAAGGCAGCCATCAGGAGATACACACTGTTGGGATGTTCTGTCAGTCTGACTCCATCACAGGGGGTCATGACCATGGCAACCGGCACCTTGAATGTGAGGTCAATATTAAGCTCCCCTCCCCTTCTGCAATATTCCTTAAGACTACAGTAAAATACCCAAAAACGTTCTGCATGGAAACGCAAGCACACAGGACAGCCTGGGAATCTCACAGTCAAACTGTGCATCTCATATGGTCTTTATTTAAACATCATTGTGAGGGATGTGGTTTATTTTATTTTATTTTGCAATAAATGTTATAATCATGCGCACAATCCATCAGAGAATACATTTGGGGATACGTATGTCTTCATCTCAGAACAAGAATGTGGTCTAGCAACTGTTAGTCAGTTCTAGTACGGATTTATTCTGTTTTAGTTCTTCATCTATTACAACTATCCTGACACTATTGAGGAGTTGGTCCAAATTACACACTGCAATTCTACTGGAGCGTTTTCACAAGGTGTAGGACAGTCATTGTGCAATAGTTAGAATGACTGAGGAGAAAAATGAAATTAAACGCAATGATATCATTGTGACTCTGCCTTAACTGGTATCTTTCTGCAGTCGAGATATGTTAACTGCCCACACAGAGACTGTCCTTGTTAGCACTGTAGCCCCCATGCCAAGCAGGCAGCTTGTAAGCTGGTCTGTTCATTCCTGCTGCATAAAACAACATATTTATCCATGCTTGTAACTGCAGATAATGAGGGATAAAATCAGTGAAGGAAAGGCCTTCAGCATAGGCTTCCCCAGAAGCCAACCACAGACATTGTGTGTCTTGGAATGAAGAAGTATTTTTCTTTGATCTAGTACAGGGCCAGTCACCCATTCTTTTTTTTTTCATTGACAGACCGAACTAGGACTGTGCTGAGCTCACTGCCAAATGCTGGGGAGCAAAGCTATGATTAAGGTATTAAGATCAGACCTGCTGGTGTTGAGGAACCTCAGCCTGACCCCTGAACTTCAACTCCAACATCTCCAAGCATATTCCATGAACAACCTCTCTTCACCTGTACAGGTGGAATCAAGCGTTCATCATTTGGAAGACAAATGGACAAAACAGACAATCTCGGAGATTGTTTAGCAATTCTAAAAAGCCTTAGCTGGTTAGCAGAGACAACTGTGCAGGTCATCCTGCCTCTATATTACTGCTCTATAACGGATATATCCATTATTTTATGTCAGAAACATGCACGTAACTCCTGTTGTTTTTACAGTTTTCTGCCTCATAAACATCTTGACTGGAGCCAGCAGGGATTTTCTGAGCACGGCTCACTTGACTTTTTTTTTTCTTTCCAGAATTTACATAGCTGCCGACGCCCTGAGACCTTGTCTAAATAGCTGCAGCATTTCATGGTGCCTAGGGACGTAAACAGACATTGCGCACAACGACCCTCCTGCACAAGCTGGATGTAACAATGAATTTCTGTTAGCTTACATTAATACACAATGAACACTTTTTAACTCAGAAAGTAATCAAACAATGAACGAGGAACAATGGTTGGCGTTTTTTGGTACTTTTTAATGTAATATTAATATATTATATGTAATAATAATATATTAATATATTTTTTATCTTGACAGTGCAAATCATAGGCTGTTCTATGCCCTATTTAGGAAACCTTCAGCCCCTCTGTGGGTCAAATCTTAGAATCGCTCTTGGTGCAAATGTTCTCTTTTTCTTATACACAGGATTAATTGCTGTAATAGCTTATGTTGAGCCTTACGAATGCATAAAATGCGCTGGTTATAGCGGGGGTCAGTAGGGTTTAAAAGACATTTTAGTAAGTGTATAATTTACCACAGATGGCGCCAGGTAAGGTAACTGACTACTCAAGTAATAAGTTCAGCGGAACAATGAGAAGCTAAGGCAGGGCTAAAGTCAGCCCCGGGGGGGTCCCCTTCCCCTCCCGTGTTAATGCGATTGACGGAAGGTGACGTTTCTCTGTATTTTATACAGGATCGTGCACGTTAAGTTTGTCGGATCCCACAGTACAAGTGTTTCGGAGCTCTTTGGGTGGGCGAGAGTAACACAGCGAGTGCGAACAAGCATCGGAGCGTTATGTTTACGCTCGGCGCGCGGCACACTAGCGAAGCGGCTTTATTTAGGCAGAAGCGGCTCCAGCCCTGTGACTCTGCTGACGGGGAGATACGCCTTTAGAGCCTCGGAAGAAAAGTTGGAAATGAAAGCCTGTCAATCCGTAAGCGGAATTCTTTAAACTTTCATTTAAAAAAAAAAAAAATCCCGTCGTAAAGGGTCTTTCAATCCCGTTGCCCATTTGCTCAGTTTCTCAAACCTAAGCAGTTGGTTAACTAGGCGTACATTTTTGTCTTATTAGAATGACTAGATTTTACTCTCTTAGGTCTTACAATATAAATATTTAATATTACCATTTATTAGGCCTAATTTTTTGAGGAGCGATATTTCAACTCAATGTATGACCCGGTCATCGAAGAGCTGAGGCAACAATAAACTTAATTTAATTTGATATTCAATATGGCATAAGATTCAAACAACACACTACGGTTAAAAAAATAGAAAACGTAGGCCAAATATTCGAATAGACATCTCATACGTTTTATCTTTAACGTGTGATTATTTTCACAGAAATTGTCTTTTCAACTCCCATCATCTGTAAGGCAGAATGGGTTATGCGTAGACTGTGGCTTATCCAAGGCCTTGAACCCAAGGCCAGCTCCCTGCCTCACTTTCAGATGTTTCCCGGAAACCCTCAGTCCAAGAAACATCAATGCCAATCTGTACACCGATATTAGACGGCTTTTACTGTGAATGGTTGCAATTTGGATAATTGAATTATACTTTAAGGAAATGAGGTAGATAGACATCACAAAGGGAAAGACAGCCACATGTTAGAAATATTTCGGTTCCACAGCCCCCTTCTCTGCAATAGTTTCCAAATGTGTAATATCAGATGCAATCATTTCTCAACAACACGTTAAATGTGTTAAGTGTTGCATACTACAAAAATTAAACGCAAAGACAATATACAATACAATTTAATATACCAACAATCCTGTCCTATATTATTAAATATAAATCATCAGGCCTGTTATCAGTAAATTGTGGAAACCAGTTGCAAGGACACGTCAGACTATCCGTCTGGTTTACCTATAGGTCACTTGATTATCCAGTTTGCTGTTGCATCTTTTACAATGTGTGCTATGGCTTAAGTTTGACCACACGTGTTACCCTGAATAAAGGTAACGGATTGATTACCTGTAGTTTTATAAGTAATCAGGATCGTCATTTTAAGAGAGGCAATCTTCAATCTGATCTCCAGTCTTGCAAGAAACAAAGAAATCGAAACAAGTCGTGATGTAGGTCCAAAAAACTCGAGATCGCTACCAGTCTTGGCCATCTTTCCAACTTCACTGCTGGTAGTTTGCGGTAATCGCTTCGAAAGCTAGAAATGGGAGTGGCAGTTGAATGGAAACACTGCGTTTTTATTTGGCCCTGTAATTGTTAGAATTGCATTAAGTACAGGATGCCGTCACGGTGCTGTAGCGGAGAGTCCGCTAGTGTGCCATCCGTTCAACACAAGGTGGACTGCTCCTTGTTAACTGGCTTTACTGTGCATAGGGCATATCATCTAAGCCTACTTTGTGACGCAAATATTTGCAAATACGGAATGTTTTTATGATGGTTTTTTTTATTTATTCAAAATGTAAAAAAAAACCCAAGGCACAATTTTCATAATGGTTTAGCGGTTATGCAGCCTGGATTACGCAAACACGCTTACACTATCTTTTCATTTTAGCGTACGTAGGCTTCCAGAGCATTTCAGCATATCCTTCATTAATTTACGCAAACCCGACTATCTTTTCTCATATTCTCCAAAGGGGCATGAAGTTAATCCGTCCAGCCTTACATAAAAATTAGCACTCGAGTAAAAATACCCCACAAATAAATCGATGTTAGCCGCAACAGCAATTTTAAGCATATAGACTAGGCTATATTTATACGTCTATGTTAATGTCTGCCCTGATTCCCTGGGGATGCTCAGCCTTATGAAATAGTTTATAACTATAATTACTTTGTGGATTTCTAAATTTCCTTTTAATGATAGAAGCGAGTATCAGCAACCTCCACTAGATCATAGCATGATAACTTAATAACATTCCAAAAAAATGGGGGGAAAATACACATTTTTGGTAACGGAATGTTTTTCTCTCTCTCGTATGGTATGCACCATCTTAACAGGCATTTTCCATTATTAAACACGAATTTCTCACCACATTTTATTTAAATGAAGTAGTGTTAAGAAGTCTTTGTTAAGGATAACCTTATAAAAAGGCCCCTTTCTTTTGCACGTAGGCCTAATTCATTAGCAGTAATCCCTATGCTAGGCGGGGTCACGCTGATCCCTGTCCGGGCCTTGAATGTGTGAACCTCAGGCACCTTCCCACACCTGCATTATCTTAATCACTGCTACGAATTAGCAGTTTGTTAGTGGCAATTATCGTTTTATGAGCTGCCGCCAGTACGCACCGCGTGGTTAAATGGGTCTGTTGATAGCGGGCATCTAATTGTATTATTTATTCCACACGGGAAGCACGTAGTAATTTGAAACCGACAGCTGGTTAAGGTTAGGGGACGTTGCAATAGTAAGCACTGGGAAATGTAGTCAAAACGAACGTTTGGGATCGGTTTAGTAAAATAAGTAGGCTATTATGGAAACAATAACACTGCGATTTTATAGGTTGAATGAAACTGAACTTGAGCTAAAGAGACATGTATTTAAAAACGTGCAATTATAAGTCCTATAAGTCGATTACTATAAGGCAAAAACAATAGGCAAACCATATGTCCGCGATAGACCTAATAGACGTAATTAAACGCATGTTTTAATTAACACGGTACTCTTAACCAATGCATATTAAATCGGTACTACTATGCGTAAGTAACCCGTTGCAACAACGAAAAAAGATTGTTAATTAACTCTAATGAATAGAAATATATCAGACAATACTAAGATTCTGCACACTAGGTTGACGGTGCATGTAAAATTAATGGATTGAGTAACCTACGGTCCAAATTAAAAGTTAACAGACATGTTGCTTGGATCCATAATTACCCTTAAACGTACTTTATATGACATTTTCAGGTTGGACGCCAGGTGGCGCAAAACGGACCCGCCATGTAGCTTATTGTCCGGTGTTCGTATGAGCCTCGGTTTTGGAAGAAGGGGCGAAAAAGCGGAACAGCCCCAAACGTAGCAGAGGCTGTGGACGAGCCCTCGGATCCCAGTTTTCTACTCCAGTGTGCGGGTGCAGGTAGCTGGGATCCGGCCGTAAAAACTTTAATTTATTCTAATCCCTAGTAGTGGATGTAAAGATACCACCAGGCGTCTAGAGGAATGAATAAAATGCGGCCGGCGGCGCTTTTTCGGGGATGTCAGATGAAGTTTCTTCGACTCTTTGTGATACTACTTATTGCTCTGGGGATGCGCACTTCAGCGGGTAAGAGACAAATAATTCATCATAATGGTTTTATGCTTTGCCAGGAATTCCTGATTTCTCATGTTGTGGAATATGTACTTCCAGTAATATTTGTTTGATTTGCGCTTTTACTTATTGGAATAAAGGGGTTAGTTTTCCCGAATTTTTGACAAAAAGTAACTTACTGTAGTCTACTGATTGTGTATAGGGTAGTCTACGTTATAGGCTATGCCGTATTTCTCTCTTGTCGGATTAAACGTGTTAATTTCTTTAAATGCTTTATGTTAAAGATTACGTATTACTTATCATGCATGTATTTAGCACAAAAATACTGCGATTAAGATACCAAAGTCTATAGGCTATACATCCCTTCTAGTTAGAGTAACTGGCTGCCGACTGTCTTTCCTTTTTTGACTTAGGTTTTCTTAGAAATAATTTGTAGGGCTATATAGTGACATTGGTCACTATAAAAGTCAGAATTGACAGGCTTCCCACTTCACTTCTATCTGCCGGATGTCCACTGTCCCTAGTGTAAAGGACACACGGCAGACACTCTGATATCACATGATAAGATGCAGTTTATCCGATGTCGATCTGCCGAGAAAATACGCAGATTTCTAGCCTCTGATTATCGGGAGACTAACGTAAACTATTTCTTCCTGCCCCCTTTTCGGAAATGCACCAGTCACTCTGGTGAACTTTACACAGCGAATTAACTCTGGTTAGACTTCATTAAAGTTGCCTTTTCTGGCAAGTAGGACGATCTGATGAATGTTAAGAAAAACAAGCACCTTTTGCGTAGCAAACATCTGACGTTTTGATACATAACCAAGCAAACAGATTTTACAAGTTTCGGGCAATTCAGACCAGATGTTTACATTGGCTACAAATAATAATTATTATTATTGTATTCATTTTTCAGTATTTAAGTATTCAATATTTATTTTCAGTATTCAATATTTATGCGCTGCATAATAGTACAGAGGATAAACTACTTTTTTTTTTCTTTTCTTCAAACTGAGCTATCCACTGGTTGGGTTTTACCCTACATTTTTTTTCCGAGATCAGGTGTGTGGAAAATGGAAGAAGGCAAATTCCTATTCAGTGCAAATAAAGCTTAGCCGTGTTGCACCGAGTTAATCTCCAGCTATCTGCAAATGAGCTCTTAAGCACTTGAACAGGCGTCTTCGCGCTGAGAAGCCAAACCACCTTGACACTCACCATGCGCACCGTCGTCTTATAACACACACCAGCGAAACCACTGAAGCTGTGTTTTAGTTATGTTTACATTTCTCTAAATGTAGTTTTAATGTACATAACATTAGGGGGCTGTAGTAGATTACCGAGACTCATCACTGTTAAATCCAAACACCACGGGACCTTCTCCCACTTAACCTGTGCAGGGTTATAAATAGCTCCTGCATAGCGCGTGAAGGACAAACAGGTATCCAAACACATCCGTCTGTCCCCTTGTCTTATGAATTAATCTCGTCGCTTGGCTACTTAAAACAATATCTTGTGGATTTACTTTTTTTTTTCCTGGACTAATAACCACGTGGGAACAAATTAATAACCATATACGAGGTCTGATAACAGTGAGTGGAGCGCCTGCCAGTCAGTTGGTATCAATTAATCGCTAATTTAAACAGGAAAGACAAAAGAACTGCAGGGAAATCTCGACTTTCGCCGTAATCTTCACCAGCCCCTAACATAAAAAGGAATTTTATTCATGTACGAATAAACTATTATAGAAAAATCTGCGAAATTTTGAGGTGGGTGTATTTTTAGCATCTCTGAAAATTTCCTGTAGGCCTACTATTTAACTCAGTTTTATTAAGGGGATATTATTTTAGCAGAAAGGTGCGTTTTACGTGGAATTAACTCTTGTTTACTAGCCGTTTCTGGGCGGTTTCCTGCATGGGCACGTAATCTTGTAAATGTCAAAAGCAGGAATAGGCGCCTCATCAGAGAGAGTCTTGAGCATTATAAATTAATATCCCCCTAGTACATATTTCAGTGACTATGGCTGGGACACTGGCTACAACCTGGGTTTCGCAGTTGGTCTTTTAAACCGAAGTCGCTGAGAGAAATGCAAACAACTTTGGGGGTCTGGGTGCTGAAAATAATGAAATACAAGATGATGGGGGGGGGGTGCAAATTCCCAAGAGCTGTCCTCTGTGTGGTCTTTTGTCTTAATCCGTTTCTTAATGTTATAATTATTCAGTGTGTATAGGGGATACTAGCGTGGTAAAATCCCACCCGGTGTTGTTTCAGTGCAGTGAAGATATCATTCAAACACAAAACCACTGTGACGGTTCCTTGTAGTAAGATGGGAGTTTTTATGCAATATTATCTTGGAAATGTTCGCAAATGTTTTCCCCCCATAAACGTAAGCCCGCTGTGATATTTTGATTACGTCTATATTATTTCTTAAATAAAATCTGCACATCACATAAAAAGGGGGGGGGGGGCTTTGGCGTTATTTTTGTAAATTAATTTACTGTAGTTCGCCATAACCCGAAAAAGCCGCTGTGTAGAGAGCGGAGTGTTCCTTCGTAGCAGTTCGTTAATATTAGGAGACGGCGGCCCGTTTCTCTCGGGAGTCCAGGCGGGTCGCGGCCGCTTTAAATCTTCCTTTCGGTGTCAGTGTGAGTCCTGAGTGTTAAGTAGCCTTCGCAGCCGGAGAACCGGCACACTTACGTCTTTGTGAAACCCCCAACTCTCTCAGGCGTACTAAACACCTCTGCTTAAGGACTTCTCGAAGATTAATATTTGTTTTAAAAGGAAAACATTTTATGCCCCCCCTTTTTTAAAAAACATTTTCTCTTCTGTATACTGCTCTGTTCTTTCATTGGTCAGGCCTTGACATATTCATTGCTGTCTGTCTCTCCCAGAATGTATGACTCTTTTTAATTCTGCCTTCGCAGTGAGAAAAGCATAAGGGGCAATTCCATATGTTGATGTCCTGGCAGAGATTTATGTGGAGATGGCAAGCGTACATGGTTGGCCTAGTAGGGTATCACTTATGAGAGACAGTGGTGAGGGGGCAGAGAAGGGGCACCCTGTCTGTCACGTCTTCTGGCCCCAGACTTCCTCCTTTCATTCCTGCCAGCGGCCCCTTGTACTGGGCTGCTCCCCTCCTCCCTTCTTGGCTTGCGCCGGCTTCGGACGGCAGCCATCTTCGGATGATTGGCAGCGCGGTCCCGCCATTCATCAGTCTGTTTGCGTGGATCAGAAGAAAGCAAACCAGAGGGGGGTGAAGGTGTTCCGGAGCGAGCCTGTGGTGTTTTGTCAGGGCTGACACTGAAGTAACTCGTCAGACAGAAGATTAAGCAACTCAACACTGAGGGCCGGCAGGAAGTCGTCAGTATTCCGTTATTGATCTGAAGGGAGACACTATGGGAATATCTGGGAGTGTCATTTATGGGAATATTTGACCTTAACTGAGTAAATATTTCTAACCTTTTTTTTTTGATAACACCATGGAAAGTAACCGTTACAAACAATATGAACTCCTGAATATTGGAATAGGTCACTTTCCACTTTAGATATATACAGCTCTGGGACAAAATTGAGACAACTTTATATATAATCATAATTTTAAAATCCTGGTTTAATCCTGCTTCTGTTGGCAGAAGGACTGCTTCCAGACTCAAAGTTTCAGTACACAAGAATAAGGTGAAGCAGGAGACATTGGCAATGACCAAAAACCAGCCAGGAGGGCAGAAGCAACTTTGTAATGCCAGAGATGCCCGTTAACTTATAGTGCCTTATGAATCAGAGAATGGCACCAAGTGACGTTCATAAAGAATGGGAAACATTACGTGGTGTGAAGTGCACTGCTAGGACAATTCATAACAGGCTCCTAGAAGCAGGACTGAAGTCCCACAAAGCAAGGAAGAAGCGCTTCATCAATGAGAAGCAGGGAAGAACCAGGCTGGAGTTTGCAAAAAAAAAAAAAAAATGCATATTTTACACAAGTATATACCAATAAATTGAGAAATGAGTGAAACTGAAAATTTTACTGTGGTCTCAATTTTTTAGGGCTGTATATTACTGCTAAGTATGATAAATGATAATTACCTATACAATCCAGTCCTCTGATAAATATTACGAAATAAGTCCTCAAATCTACGAAATTGTACAGATCTTTGCAAAGACAATGAAAAGGCATTTTATACTCCAATGTTTAACCACCATTAATTACAGATCTGTTGAACAGTCAGTTACCTTCTATTGCTAAGAAACCACATTGACAAAAGGCAACTGATAACTTGTTGGAAATGTTTTCACTTACAGGGCTTGACATTTTTTTTTTTATGTGACTGTAAAAATTTCTTGAAGCTAAAAGTTACATATTACAACACTCAGCATTCCCCAAAGTTTATCATTACTGGTAAATTCGTAAAATTGTGCACAGTGAACTTTCTGGATGTGACCGTCCGCTGAATGAATACGGTACATGTTGATTTCGGCACTGTTCACTCTCTGCTAGGCTGAACTGCTCCAGTTCACGTTCTCCATTCAGCTGTCTGTCGCCCTCAATAAAATTACAGCGAGCTACACCAGCGTTTAATGACCTGCCGGCGAGGAACAAGCTCCCCTCTCTCTTGAAACAAATTAAGGGTCTTTGTAACACCGGGGACTCGACAAAAAGGAAACCGCACGTTCACCATCTGTACCGGGCTGTTGTCGGGCTTGGCAAGCGAGAGTCAGCTTGGATTACGGGAAATTAAGTTTTATGGGCGCCTAATGGTTTGTTTCGAATACTGTGAAGCGTTAACTCTGTGTTTCCTCGAGGCTCCGGTCATGGGGGTGAAGTCGCTGTCGTCGTTAGGGCTCTCGTCTTCTCTTTTGGGTTTTTTGTGGGTGAATGTTTCAGAAGTGAAGGATTGAGGGAAGCGGGGCTTTATGAGCGTGTGGATAATTCGGAATGAGGTGTGAGGTTGATATTAGCTTCCCTTCAACTGAAGGCCGACTTCTACGTCGTGACTTACTATTTATCCATGGAAACTTTAATC